TTTTAATGGAAAACTTGCATGTAGTTTTAGTCTCAATTGGCATATATTTGAACCACTTTCTATCCTAAAGAAGAAAATTATGGTAGCATATGAAATGAATAGGGTGTACTGATCATTGTTAAGTGTTTTTTTTACAGATTTAGTGAAATATTTGTGATGGACTACAGATTTTATGTACAAAGCTCTTCACATTTCACATACATCAAACAGGCCGTTTAACCAGGGACATAAATACAAATATTCTGCACATTTTTCCTGTGATAATCTACTTTTCTCTAGATGCAGAGTTCACAAATAATTAATTAAATTTGATTTAAGCATAGAAACACAAATATCAGGAACATAAAAAGCTGTCAGATAGAAAGTCAGCATGGCTCTTAGGCATAAAATGGAAATTGCTTTAAAATGCTTATTTTAGCCGTATAATGCCAAAATGGGACATTTTAACTAATTTCTGTCAAACAAAGATGTAAATCCTTTACTTTTATTGAGTTTGACAAATTGAAACCAGCAAATCATTCAGGAAAGTTGCCAAAGTACAGAATCTACATTTACGGAATTCATCTCTTAGGCCCGAGAACACAGTTATTTCGTAGTGCATTTCTTTTAGACAATAAATTCAAATTTAAAAAATCGCACCTGCTCTATCTCAAAAAGATTTTTACAGTGTAGTGTACTACTATTGATACAAATAATATCAAAATTATAGAAACTTCTACCAGCTCGAACTCAAAATATTGACAATTTTGTGTTAAAGGGGGCTAAAATTCAGTTTGACAGCTTCAGACATTCGAATTTTTGACCTTTTTTAACTGGACCAAATCACTACTTAACATAAAGATTCAGCACCCAATTTTTTTTAACATGTAATTCCATCCTCTTACTTAATATTTCATGCATAAAATATCAAGAATTAAATTGGGAAAGTGTATAAAAAAAAAATGCAAGTTATACACTGTTCACACTAGGGACTATATTCGTAGACAACGAAAACCAAAGGACGATAACTGTGTCCTTGGACCATGTGGAGCAGGATCTGTTTACCATTCAGGAGCACCTGAGATCACCCCCATATTTTGGTAGGGTTCGTGTTGCTCAGTCTTTGGTTTTCTGTGTTGTTTTGTTTACTGTTGTTTGTTTGTCTTTTTCATTTTTAGCCATGGCGTTGTCAGTTTATTTTCGACTTATGAGTTTTGATGTCCCTTTGGTATCCTTCTCCTCTCTTTAAAATACTGTATTATCATAGCCATCAATATCTTTCTGATTGTGTAACGGCACTACAGAAATGTATTAATGTATATATATTCTTCATGATTAAAACCTGAATATAGTAAACAACTCCGTTTTCGAAAAATTAAATAAAGTTTTTTTCCCTATGATATCTGCCAGCGTTTGACGCATTTTTTCTCTTTTTATATGTTTCGTTCAGTCCAGTTGTCATATTTGTTCTTACATGCACTATTGATAAGGTCATTTTCTTCAACTTCCTATTGATAGCCATAATAATTCAAAATACTACGACTGTTGTACCCATGACATACATGTAGATAGCATTACCCAGATTTGGCACAATCGTTGGGGGATATGTTATGTTTATGTAAGCCTTTCAACTTCGTAACCGACATGACCAACCAACTGATTTTTTCGGGCGCAACTGATGAGTGTTGTCAAAAGCGCGTCTATGCTGATAAATCATACATGGGTTCATTTGCAATATTGAACGTTATGATTAGGCTGTCACGTGTGACCCGTACAATAACAACAGAGCGTTATTTGATATGATTTATTTCTCATCAAACAGCAAGCTTTTGACAGGAATAAATGGAGATGACTTATATAGATTATGGAGGGTTTACATTTTGGTAATAATTTTAGTAGCTGCACAAACATGTAGTTTGCAAATACAAACACTTGTATTTGTATCTGTCTAAATCCTTTGCAATTATCAAATCGATAAGACCAGGATGTATTATAGCCCCTTTATATTTATGATACAAACAGAACCAATGGCGAGTTAAATTTGCACAAATATAGAAATACAGGGAATAAAAATACAAACAGAACACGTTCTTAAGTAAAGCAATTATTCAATGTTTTACATAATATCTAACAAAAAAAAATAAAAATAAATAAATCGACTCCCAATTTAGTTTTTATAAAATAAAAAGGCCGTGTGTTTGGAGGCCAAGCGCGAAAGAGTCGGAAAATATCTACCGTAGGAGAGTATCATGGGTATAACATAGACATCAGAAGAAAATGGAACATAATAATTAGCAAGATATAAAAAAATGTTCCCGTTCGAAGAACTAAGAGAGGTAAAATATTAATCAGCAAAAAAGAAAAATAATAACTATTTTAAGACACGATGGTAAAATCAGTAATATACCGGAAGGAGTGCGAAAAAGAAATGTCTATGTGACTCCAAAGTTAAACTTGTTGAATAAAAATGCCGTCGCAATGAAAGCTTAATGATCCGTTTGGAAACTTTTATAAAATGAAACCATGTAACACTAATTTGTAGAATATTTATAGATTATCGATGGTTTTTAAAACGAGAGGGTGTTTCTCAGCTAAAATCTCAACGAAGGGCGACGGCCCTGAAATGAGATGTGGCCGAGAAACATTCTCGAATTTGAAAGACCATTGATAAGCTGTCTATTGCTGTTTTACCTATGACGTCGTTGACGTTTATATTGGAAGACCTTGGATAATCTGTCTATTGCTGTTTTGCCTATGACGTCGTTGACGTTTATATTGACAACAGCACGTGCGCTCTTAGTTTCTGACGAAATTTTTTTATCTCAAGCGAGTAGCATGATATTATTAGTTATCTTGGTGTAATCAGGGGTGTACATAATATTACACCTGTGTTGAAAATGCATACACCCTGAGGCGCAGCCGAAGGCTGTATGCATTTCCAACACAGATGTAAAATTCTGTACACCCCTGATGGCACCAAGATAACGAATTTATTTCTTATGAAGCGTTCCTTTCCTTATTTCTATACCGGGGAATTTGTGAAGTTATGAAGAACTTTCACTTTTTATTCAACACCGATGTTACTGTGCATTATCGTATATAGTTTTACCTTTTTTCCTTTTTTTTTTATTTTGGGAAATTTGGAGGAAAAAAAATTGTGGAAGAACAAATTTTTGTTTTAATTTTTAATATTTGTTTTCTTGCTTTTTTGAGCCTAAAAAAAATATTCTTTTCAAATGTGAAAATTTTTATTTTATTGTAATTTTGCATTTCATTTTTTTGTTTGTTTTACATGTTTTTGAAATTTTTGCAAAATGTCATTTAAACCCGGGTAGTTAACCAATCAGATTGCAAGATTCTTGCTTTATAAGAAACGAAAAAAATATCCCCCCAAAAAATCAAAGAAAAAATACACAAAATAGCGATAATGTCTTGTAACTGACGATTTCTCCGATGATCATTGACAAATTTGTATACTTTGTCCTGGTGAAATTTTTTGCCGTTTACCGTTATTCTTGATCTACTATATTTTGGCAAAAATGTAAAAATTGGCAAAAGTTGTAATTTGAGGACAATGACTCCTATACGGAGGCAACCGATGATTTTTGAAGTTTGGCTCTTCTCTCTTTATCTGTCAATTATAGAATTCGAGTTAACAAGAAAACTTTAAAAAAAAATGATAGACATCGTTATTTAAGGCAATTGCTCCTCCGACAGTTTTGATGTTAAATGTCAGTAGATTGATCATACTATTCTTCACATCTCAACCACGGCAAGTTTATTGTTCCGTGTGTGTGTGTGTGTGTGTGTGTGTGTGTGTGTGTGTGTGTGTGTGTGTGTGTGTGTGTGAGAAAATCTACTTTTGATTTTTATGTAATATGGTAGTTTCTTTGTTGCTTGTTTATTTTAGCATGTCAGTCAATTTTGTTTAACAAAATGCAGTGTAAATACATTGAATTTAATAACAAAAGTCTTTTTTTCAAAAATTGGATAAAAGGTAATTTGATTTATATAAACGATCTTTTAGATGAAAATGGGGAAATTTCACAAGATGTAATTTTGCAAAATATTGAAAATAAATCCAACTGGATAGCTGAGTTGACATCCATGAAAAAAGCAATTCCAAAAGATTGGTTACAATGTCTTAGAACAGAGAATTCCACGAGAAGTATAGTCAATTTAAAAAGACAATGTTTGTCAATAAGTGGTAATTACATTGACATTTCTTTTTTGTCAAATAAGTTATTATATAACAGATTCGTAAAGAAAAAAGTTGTGAAATCGATTGGTATAAATGTATGGTTAAATGTACTACCATTACAGACAGAAGTTCACTTGAAACCATTGTACAACTTTATTTTTTACTATTTAGAAGAAAATAAATTGGAGATGTATCGATGGAAACTTTTACAAAGTATATTACCTACTAAAAAGTTATTGTTTAGATGGAAGGTAACAGACAATGATTTATGTAACAAATGCTTTACTGAAGAAGATTATCAACATTATTTTATGTCATGTTCTTTTTTAAACGATTTTTTGAGAAAAATTCATAATTTATTGCAAAAAGTAAATATAGCAAAAGCTATCACATTGAAAGATATTGTTTTTGGCTATAAAATATCTGATAAATATTTTTTTGGCTTTAACTATCTTATTACTATTATTGGGTTTTCAATTTATAAATCCTACTATGTATCTGATCAGAAAATGAAAAGACTTGATGTTTTTTGTCTATTCATTAGAGAATTTACAAAACGAATGTATTATTCAAAGAAGTTAGAAGAAGTTAAATTTTTAGTTAATGTTAAGAAACATTTATAAGATTGATGTTTCATTTATTAATATAATAGAATTAAAAATTATATGTATTCTTCACAAGAAGCTTGGACTTGTTGAAGACAATGTAACAAGCAACTGATGGAAATAAAGAAATTTTAAAAAGCAACAAAAAAAAAAAAAAAAAATGCAGTGTATTTAAACAGTTACTTAGTTTGTATTCAGAAAACTTTCTTTTCTAGCTTTAATTTTAAACTGCGACTTTGAAAGTAATTCATGTGATTGGAATATCGATGAATTCAATAAATACGTATGGAAAAGGCAAAATGGTCAGCCTCCATTTTATCACACGGGTCAAACCACTGATCATTCAACAGCATCTGGTAAGCACTTTGTAGTATGTAGCCTTGTCACCTTTTTTCAGTCAATGAATTGACATTTACAGTTTTATAACGGTATTTTAAATATATAGTTTTACTTTAATTATTCTTCCCTTAGTTTATTTATTTTGTATTTACATTGTATCATAGATCAAATGTATTTGTTCAGTGTATGTTCACTGGTGTTAATATGTCCTTTGATTGAGTTAAGCCATTTCAATTGATATTTTATAGTGTGTCTTTCTATGTTGGGATGTTATACTATTTTTTCAGATAAGGGTGAAGATTTGGTACCATTAAAACGTTTAAACCCGCTGCAACTGTTTGCACCTATCCTAAGTCAGGAATCTGATGTTCAGTAGTTGTCGTTTGTTGATGTGGTTCATAAGTGTTTCTCGTTTCTCGTTTTTATATAGATTAGACCGTTGGTTTTCCCATTTGAATGGTTTTACACTAGTAATTTTTGGGGCCCTTTATAGCTTGCTGTTCGGTGTGAGCCAAGGCTCCGTGTTGAAGACCGTACTTTAACCTTTAATGGTTTACTTTTATAAATTTTGACTTGGATGGAGAGTTGTCTCATTGGCACTCATACCACATCTTCTTATATCTATTTTCAAAACATTTGAACCACCACACAAACTGTTTTTAATGGGAGACTACTGAAATTTACTCAAAATTACTTTTGAGTCCTAACATACTCAAATCCATGGTGTATGGGAAGCAACTCTTGATATTAGTTTCATTATAGACAGAAGAAAAACATATTTTAGGATAGTAAAACTGTCGCAAGGGAACGCACAGTGTCCTTGATACAACTATATGTCAGAACTCTCAGACATTGATAAACCAACTAGTGCTTAAGCAAACAAGTGTTTGGTTTCTTTTTCTATTTGTGTTTTAATTTGCATTTCGTTTGTTTGAACATGTTGAATCTATATTAGTTTGTACTTTATGCATTACTTATCCTACAATCATAGCAAATAGTCAATTTAAGATTATTCTTTTCTGTACAATACAGATAGCGGAAACTATATGTATTTGAGCAGTACCGTGGATACGATTGCATATCTAGAATTTCAAAACGTCAATTTACATGTATCCGGGAATTTTTGTTTGACATTTTGGTATCATATGTATCATGACGAGGATTATGAAATGGAAAGATTAAATGTCACTTTTGATAATGAACTCGTCTGGACGGATTATGCAAACCAAGATAACAAATGGAAAAGGGCAATGATAGACCTGCAGAATAGAATGAATATGAGTATCAAATTTATAGGCATTCTTGGTAGTAATTGGTGGAACGATATCGATATAGCTATAGACGATATTTCTTTAGCTGAGGGAACATGCACAGGTATGTTAATGCAACTTTTACTACTAGACACGAATCAAGCACCTATATGCTGTACATAACCATGCGTTTTAACAGTTTTCCATAATAATATAGCATATAAATGAGCTTTAAAACAATTCGGTTACTGATTATTTTCCAAAATAATACTTATTTACGTATGTATCATTAGATAAGATTGATTAATGTCATAATGTTTAATCAGGTAGACTTAGGTTAACAAAAAAACACTGATATGATGACTAAGTAATCTAAATATTGTACTTGTAATAAACACCCCAAAGTGCTCCTCGAATTGTATAATTGTTTGGTCAAAAAGAATATACCAGTTTGATAATATTAACAGAATCATTAGAGTCTTATTTCATCTGTTGCTTACGCATACATATACAAAATAAACTAAATATGATCAACAATTAGTTGAAAACATTGAACAATAACAGAACTAATGAACATTTAAGACTCTAATTATTTAGCCCGTGTATCTAAAATCTAGAACTCAAAAAAACTTCCGGAAAAAGGCATAATCTTTATCATTTTCGGAAATAAATTCTATCAAAACCTTCGATTTTTCAACCTTCTATACACCACCATACTACATGAAAAATTTAAAAACCAGTCTTAAAGAAATAATCCACAATGCTTTCCTCAATTACATGGTAAAACACGCTACAAACTTATTGTTTTATGATATAATTCTACATAGTTTATTACAAATGAACCCCAAGATAAACATGCTATACCGAAGAACAACATATTTCTCACTGACAACATAATTGTTGAATTTGGAAGTAGAACTTTCCAGTCGGTTGTTTGCATTTCTATGGGAACCAACTTTGCACCTCTCCTGGCAGACCTTTTCTTTTTTTCATGTGAGTTGGAGTTCTTCAGACACTTGTAGAAAGCTAGATGATCAATGAACCTAGATTATTTAAATTTACATACAGGAATATTAATGATGTTCTTTCCATTAACAATCCAACCAACTTTTCTGATTTGGTCCATTTAATATATCCTCCTGAACTAGAGATTAAAGAAACCACAGATACTGCTTCCTCCGCATCATTTCTGGACCTTTACCTCGAATTTGACAACAGAGATCATCTCAGTACCAGAATATATGACAAACGAGACAATTTAAATTTTGAAATTATAAATAGTCCTCACCTTAGCAGCAACATACCAACTTAACCCGGGTATGGGGTATACATTTCGCTACTCATACGATATTCAAGAGACATGTCAACAAACGTCAAGTTCTTTTTTCTCAAAAAGTTCATCAAAAAGTACCAAGACCTAATAAAGCTAAATAGTCAATGTCTACTTCACAAATAATACAAGATGGTCTTTAGATATAGATTCTAGGTGCTGAAGTTGTATATCTTTTGATTTAACTTTAGTTTCCCCGTTAATTGTCTTCGTGCTATTATGTTTCTTATGGTCGCATGACTTTTGACGTGACTTGGTATTTATGCAACCCACCATCGGGATTTTGACTTTTGATCTTTGGGCATTCCTGGTGCAGGTAAGTCATGAGGTGCGATTCAGACACAAAGAGTGTTTACAAGTTGTTTCTTTTTTGTTTACCCTTGTATTTATATTTACTTATTTGTTACTTTATCGAGAAAGTGAATATCATATACGGTATGTACAATCAACGACAAAATGTGTTGTTGTTGACGCAGTGTCAAATTTATTATCTACTACACCAATTTTGTTGGTGCCATTGTTAGATTAATTTGTATGTTTGTTTCAATTTTTTGTCAGTTGTGTTGTATGTCTGAGATGTATGTTTACCCAATTTTTGCTGCTGGATCCCATTTATTGTTACATTAACCTTTTATGTCGGTTTGGGTTTGCTCACCTAATTTTGTCAATATAACGGAACTATAAACAACTGACATACAAGTGGGAGGTTTAGTTAGCTGTTAAACTACCAAAGTTTTACTCTGATAACAAAACAGTAAACTACACGCGTTCTTCTGTTTTCCTTTTTGATAGATTATAACTATATATTCACTTTTTACAATTCATTAAATCATTTTATACGATTAATATTTTGGGCATTTCAAAAGCAAGTAAAAAGATTTCTCATATCTAGAAAGTTTTTTAAAAGTAAGAGCAGTGGAGGTATCAATTTCCGTGCTGGATTAGAATATATCTTGTTGTAAGTGTTTACAGCATAGAATGAAAGCTTTTCTCATAATATTTTAAATATCTTTACAGGGTTATTTTATCACGAGGACAATTGTGTTCAGTTGGACGAAAAAACGCCTGAAGAAACTAAATGTCCCAAAGGCTATCTTAACATTACGAATTCGCGTTTATCATTTGACCCAGAAAAACGGGAATGTACTAAAATATATGATCAGACTAAAAATCATCTTTTGAAGGAATGTGAAAACCGTGATAATTCACAAAAATGTGTGTTTGATTTTTCAACTGAAAAAAGTTCTCATCCAGGATGCTATCAATTGTATGAATTTCAAATAATGCATACATGTGAAGGTGAGCAAAAATATTTAAGGCGCAAGTTTTGTCGAGTATTATGGAATAATAAATTCTAGGTATCAATATTTGATAAATATCGTAAGCCAAATCGTTTTGTTATAAGATTTATTCACCCCTTTTAAAAACAAATTACCTGAAACAGTTCATTTCGCATTTGTGTATGCATGCAAGCAGACAAATGTTCTATATATTGATTGCAATTCTTTGGTATGTGTTAATGCCGAACAAAGGATGATGCCCTACATGTTAAGCCGCCAATTAAAAAAATTGAACATATCAAGGGGACATTATATAAGTGGAAGAGAGACTATAAAGCAAATACGAAAGACGACGAAAAGACTGAAAAGTCACCAAAACACTTCATAGAAAATTAAAAACTGAGCTACACAAATAAAATTGAAAAACGATTGGGCTTTCTGAAAGGGTTAGCAGATTCTGGTCCACCAGTGGCATCCGTTATGCTTATCATTGTAAGTTCAATTTCGGTCATATTACTTATTCGGTGATGTCAACATCTAGGAAAGTAAGGCAAAATTGTGGTTATGACATTAAGAACATATCCGTGGTCATCTATGAGACAGATAGGCCATAATGGTCAAACAAGGCGTGATGCCGTCAGTAAAATTTTCGATTGAATGCCATTACTTTTCCACTAGGAACCCAAGGATCATCAACTTTTTGATAATCAGCAACCCTTTAAAGGAAACCATGACCTAAAAACGCAAGCTCTATAATATCCTATCAACTGGGACATATATATTCCATACCAAGGCGCTGCTGAAATGTGGCTACATAGAAATGAAAAGTTCACAATGAGGAAGCTGTAATCTTCCCCTTTGTCGTAAATGTCAATTTTATTTAATTATTTTACGGACGCCATTACTAGTCTATGTACCGTTATAGAATATCTTTTTCTTTTGAATTGGTTTCTTTTGTTTCACCGACAAATACCAATCTTCAAAAGTTAAAATATAACTAGTAAAGTGGATATGTTGATTTACAATTCAGATCATGTCCTTGTGCAGAATCGAAAGATTTTCAACATTGTAAAGATTGTGCAGTTTTTTGTTTTACAAGTAGAAATGAAACAGTGTTGTTCAGAGTCTTTCAAGTCCAAAATGTCTTGTAGCTGAACTGTACATGACCGTTTGCGAAGAGTGTTGTTATTGTCATCAGTATGACGATCTTAATGCGACGTATCTGATATATTTGTCATTTATGGTGAAAAGGGATGCCTGTTATCTAAGGCGACGCCGCGTCCTTGATTCTGACCTATTTATACCCTTAAAGTGGCTGGGATGTCTTCCTCCGTCTTGGATTTTGAAGTAGCAGATAACTATTGGTCTAGATATTTAATGAAATGTGCAAATTTTGAGAGTAGTATGTAATTCATGTGTAAGACTTTTCATGTTAATATAGAAAATTATGTGTTTTATCATATTTACGGCTGTTTTTTTTCTAAAAAAAACACATTGTTTTTGTTTGATTCATTATTTTTCAATTTTTCCACTTAAGGGGAGGTAACTCAGAAATAAGGGAGATAAAGAAATTTTTATAATAGTAAGTGTTGTGAATTTACCTATTTTAATATGTAGCAAGAAAACAAGTCCGGTGACCCCATTTTTTCTTTTTCTTAACTGAAAGCATGTTATAAGAGCTATCTTCTCACATTTTATCTTCAAATTCTATGATGTAGTTTATTTTTTATCACACTTAATTTTATTTTCCATGCATAATCTATACAAAATTTGACAATTTTGCACAACCTGTAGCGTGATAAAAAGTCCGGTGACCCATACTTTATATTATATTTTGGAAAAAGCATGATGACAAATTATTAAAAAATATTCTATGGATTTTGATCAGGTAGATTTAAATAAAAACAAAAACGTATATTAATTCAAATTCTCTATACATTTTATTTTGACAAACTACCTGTCTGGTTCTTCATCCCGTTCTCATTGGTTACAAATTAAATTATAGGGTAACGTAATTCACCATTTATTTTAGGTCTACATATTTTAGCTGCACGATACACGATATTGTCATGACGGAAAAGAAATTTGAGTTTATTAACAGTTTCCACTTGCTGTATTTTTAGTTTCCATAAGTAACTCACAATTATTCCTTTATTGCTTTCAATCACTATTGGAAAATCCTTAATGGCAAATTGTTAGCTTAAAGTACAAATGTATACGACTAGATTTAATTTTCGCATTTATTCACATAATTTTTATATCTCAGATAAACAACATTTTTATTTCAAATCACCTAAAATACATCAATCCTATAGCTAAGCAGTCTACTGCTGCTGATAGAGTGGCCTTGCATTTTTTACATATCTCATTTGCCGAGAGATTACAAATGATTACTGTAAAAAGTTTCCGTTTCGATATTCCAAAAACTAAAATTTTGGCAGTATGATACAGATAGGAAAGCACAAATGTTCCTTTTTCCATTTAGATGTCTGCTACCAAACATGTCCTCTTCAAGAATACTATTTCCTGAACGTTTGGTCATTGTACTATGAAGCTCACAACATGCAGTAACCGTTTATTGGTGGAATTTGTACATACTTAATATAAATTCCATTTATTATGTCAAAGATTGTATAACATATTTTCTTGTTATCAATGTTATCAATTACATTGATAACAAAAAAATATGTTATACAATCTTTGGCATAATACAAAGCTATTTGCACGTTTGGAAATCAAGAAATTTCTATGTCCATAATTTACAGTCCTTGTAACGTAAAAGTTAACACTTTCGTCATTCGGGAATCGTACGTACAGCGTTCGGTTATCGTTAGTATAGAGTTCGGGCGTCGACCGTACATCATTCGTATAGCGTCCGTACAACGTTCGGTCAGCGTTCGTACATCATTCGGGAATCGTATGGTAAGTGTTATGGTTTAGCGTTTTATGTATCGTATGGTAAATGGTATCGTTAAGCGTTTTATATGTAGAATAGTATATGGTATCGTTAAGCGTTTCATCTAACGTATGGTATATCATATTGTTACGCGTATGGTATATGTTGGGTTTTGAGTTAAGAACATTAAAATAAGATAATTTAATATAAAAAATAGAGGAATAAATCAAAACTAATTATTAGATTGGATTGATTGATTTTTTTTTGCTTAACGTTCTGTGGTAAATACTTCATGCATGTTCAGGACGAGAACAAATTTACAATATATACAATAGGTAGGTAATTTAAAAGAGGCCGTCTGGGATGAATGTCGGAGAAATTTTAAACTGCTACTGGAGAATGAGTGTATATTGGATAGAGACAGAAGTTTTACCTTGTAACAAGCCACCTACGGACAAATCAAAGAGTTTTACAAGGGTTCTTAACGTGGCACTCTTTTTACACGAGGCATTATTAGATTGGATTGATTGGTAAATACTTCATGCATGTTCAGGACGAGAACAAATTTACAATATATACAATAGGTAGGTAATTTAAAAGAGGCCGTCTGGGATGAAGGTCGGAGAAATTTTAAACTGCTACTGGAGAATGAGTGAGTGTATATTGGATAGAGACAGAAGTTTTACCTTGTAACAAGCCACCTACGGACAAATCAAAGAGTTTTACAAGGGTTCTTAACGTGGCACTCTTTTTACACGAGGCATTATTAGATTGGATTGATTGATTGTTTTTTGCTTAACGTTCTGTGGTAAATACTTCATGCATGTTCAGGACGAGAACAAATTTACAATATATACAATAGGTAGGTAATTTAAAAGAGGCCGTCTGGGATGAAGGTCGGAGAAATTTTAAACTGCTACTAGAGAATGAGTGTATATTGGATAGAGACAGAAGTTTTACCTTGTAACAAGCCACCTACGGACAAATCAAAGAGTTTTACAAGGGTTCTTAACGTGGCACTCTTTTTACACGAGGCATCGGATTTAACGTGTCCATTCTGAGCGGACGACGTTGCGTACTTGTACTATCCGCTCTGCCAAACGAATGCCCCACGGGGTTTTACTGCCGGTCGGAAGAAGACCTGTATATATATATATATAATGATCATAATTCTATTCCCTAGTTACCCTATGGGATTTTATTAGATTGGGAAATAAGTTATAAATTTACTTGCCTGAAAAAATATACATTTCGATTGTCAATTAAAGCAAATATGTTACCTTAGTCATTATAATTTTTGTTTTATAATAATTGCGTAATTCTTAATTTCTTTAATGCTGATTGAAATGGGGAAAAAATATGTTTATATTTTGAAGCATTGTGTAAATAACATTTTAAATTCGATATTATAAAATATTGGATTTACATTAAACTGATTAAGTCATATAAAATCTCTCTCTCTCTCTCTCTCTCTCTCTCTCTCTCTCTCTCTCTCTCAAAAAGACATGACAACATTCCCTGGTATTTGTTCCCCTCAATGTCTGAGTTTGATATAAACCAAGGATTGCCATGGATATATTAACAATCGTGAAGGCTTCTATGGAACCAGTGTCTCGCTTGCAATTGCTGCTGTCGGTGTTAAAACTGTTATTTTGACTGTAAAAAGAGCATGAGTCCATGTATGAGTAAAATACAGAATTAGAAAATAACTCTTTCTTTTTGTTCGTTGGTATTCCTTGATCTTGAAGATAAGCTTCCATCCAAATTTCATAAATTTCCGAACTTTACGCCAATCAATTGGATCGAATCACCTTGAATAACCAATCGATTGTATTTTAAAGTTGTTGATTTGTTCATGTCATGAATTCATGAAATATTTGTCACTGGACGTTATGCAAACCATGATCAAATTCAAATCTATAGTACTTACAAACCTACTGCAATTTTATATATATGAAAGAGTCTAAATAATATAAATATTCATTATTTTACACATATTCGAAGGATATAATTAATCAGTTCTACAAATTGCTCTTAATGAAAAATTTAATTAAATTTTACAAATATTACCTGCCTCTGTAAAATTTCATGTCGACGGACCAAACTATTTTTTTATCGTAAGATTAGCGGCTGCAAAGCTCATTTTCATTTTAAGATTTTTGGAGATCTTCTTTCTTGTTCATTTAAAAAAAAATAAAAACCTACTTCTACTACTGGAAGTGTTTAACGACCTTGACTGGCTGTTCAGCCCTCGCACGGTCGGCTCAGTGCCCGAAGGCGTTTTGGTGAGCGTTTAAATATTTTCTACAGTCGGTCAGGAACAGGTGGAATGCGCCATTTTGGTAGGCAGCCATCTTGGTTTTGGTGACTTGTTTTGGTTTGGTTTGTTGACCATTTTGGTGTTTTCTTGCAGTCTATACTCCACAACGGCTGCTTTCAGGGCCAGATTGGTCAGCTTGGCAGCCCGCTAACCACGATGACGGAGTACTGGTCGATAAGTCTCGGACGTAGTTATAACGATGACAGGAAGCATTATCAGGACCAAAGTCGTGAGACAGTGAAATGAGGTCCATTATTCAACACCTAGGATACAGCCCTCGGACGTCAGTCGGCATAACACTCCCCCAACCATAATGGGTTTTAGAGTGTATGCTGACGCGGGTATTTACGTAGAAAACAAACGTTTACTGTACAGCGTTGGATTGGTTTCTGTCATCGAAAGAAGTAAGTCGTTGATCCATCTATCTGTAAACCCTCGTCGTAGATAGCGGGTAAAGGAGAGCTGACCCAGCACGTCCGTTCAGCTGTAATGACTGAGACGTGAATGTTAAAAACCTACAAAAAGTGCCAACACTTTTATTCTCAGGCTAGACAACGTGAAAGATCAATACACTTTATTTGGGTGTACAAATGGTGTTTTGACAAACTGGTAATTTCTTCGCCCGGGGATATGAATTTGACATTAAACTTCCTTCAGTAACTTTACAATACCCAGCCGTGTCATTTCTGTATATTGTAGATGGGACGTGTGATATATTTTCACCAGCAATACCAATACCGGTGAATTTTTCATTTTTGGAGGACTCCAAATAGGGTAACATTGAACACAAATTAAAATAAAATGAAAAAAATTTAATTAAATTATAATAAGATACAATTATGCTTTATAATAGAATTTATTTCTTAAATGCACTTTGGTACGTATTTGTAAACTGATATTATATCTTTTTTTCATTTATCTGTTTAGTTTTCTTTTTTGGAGAATTTTCCCTTTCTAATTTTTTTGTCTATTTGACTTCTGCATCAACCGAAAAACGCACCGACTCAAATATAATCACATGGCATTGAATGATTTCTTCAACTCAAAACTATTTATACGTCTTACAAACTTGCAATCAATTTTTGTGGTAAGATTTTTTTTAAAAGAGCCCTTAAGGACACTTCCTGAGGGTCTGGATGGGTTTTACAGAATATAGAATAATGGGGATAATATGCAGAATAAAGGACTAAAAAATAAAGAATAGAAAAAAATAGGCAAAAATATACAGAATAGAGAGTAATGAGGTGCTAAAATATAAAGAGTAGAGAATAACAGGAACATTTTATAAAGAATAGAGAAAAAAGGCCTAAAAATTTAAAAAAAAATACAGAAATGAAGGACCCTATCCACACCCTCCTTCATGATCATCGTATATGCACACATAAAAAATAAATGAAACAGTTTAAAGCTGTTTGCATCAGTGAATTTTTAAAATGTGGTTTTGACGGTGACATCCTGTTTCTCCACTTTTAATTACATGCCTATATAAACATTGGGGTATTTGTTGTTTTAGTAATTAAAGATGTTTCTTAAATTGTTCTGGTTATGTTTACCTTTATTCACCTGTAAACTTAAAAAGAAATTCTTTATGTCTTTATGTTATAATATTAAAAATGATTTTTTTAGAAAATAAAATAGAAGTTATTATATACATGTGCTTAAATTATTTAGTAACATACATTTGTGAAATGTTCAATAATAAAATAAGGATTCTGTTATATTTTTATTCTTGTAGAATAATACCTAAAAACAATTGCACAAACTTTAATTTTGGCTTAAGTCACTGAACTAGTT